AGACAAAACCCGTTGACCAAGTCTGGGGCTGGGTTTGGACCCAGCCGCACCTAGGCTGCTCTCTGAGAAGGAGTTCAGAAAGCAAGGGCGTCCTTTCTGAACCTCGTGGCTCAACGGGAAGGCTCTGCTTTTCCTCCTTGTATTTTCTTCGGGCTTGATTTCCTCTTTCTTTCTCTCTATATGTATATATATATGGTTCATTTAATAAGTAATAGAGTGAACTTTGCCATCGAACTCTGTTAAATCACACTTCCATAAATTTCTATTAAAATCAGTATTTGCAAATATCTTTGATGGTGATTTTTAAGCAGCCTAATCACTCATCCATGACACCGGGTTTTGAATGTTGGTTTTAAGTGTAATTGTAGCACTACAGAAAGAAGCACGACTGGCTTGGCTATGGCAGGTATCACAAATTATGCATAGCTGGGATTTTTTTTTTTAAATAGAATAATCCGTTATGGCACTGAGTATTAGTGACACTCAGTCTGGTTTGTAATAGTAATTTCTACTTCTCTCTGGGACAGTACTTCCTTACCACATTCTGCCTTTCCTTCCTACTGCACACAACTCCTTCAGTTCGTCACAGCTCAAGTTTGCAACTTCTCCCTGACTGAACTACAGTTCTAATCATCCAGTTTATGCCTGTGGATCCTAGTAGTTGATACAGGAAAAGAAAATAACATTCCAGCCAAAAGTCAGGGCAGATACTGCAGTGTTTGTGAATTGCTGATTGGCCACCTCTGCTGCAGCCTACGTGACCTGCTTCCACAGTTCCTATGCTGAGGGTTCCAACCACAGCAGTGAAGTTGCCAGCAAAATGCAATGCATTGTCCATAAAAAATTAAAAGTAATAAAGTATTCATAACCCAACTATATACTTGGAAACTTGCTTCAGGTAAGTACTATGCAGAATAATATTCATTAAAACGGGTATTGCAAATAGAACCAGATTTATTTTGATGCATGGCTGTGTCTGCAGCCACTTGACCGGGTGTTGATCTCCTCTCCACTTTGCTGAGAAAGCAGTTGCAGGGAATGGAAAGTTGTACTGAATGCACTTTTTCCATGATTGCGTACTGATCTGGGAAACCTGCACCTCCATAGGTAAGGAACGATTGTTACAGCCAGGTGAGACCATATACCCAGTGTGGCCTGCATAGCAAAGGATCTTGAATTACATTTACTTAGTGCTTTACACAGGAATTGGTAATAAATCGTCACTTAACTGTAAACTGTCAATCCACTTAAAAGAGCTTTGATTGAACTGTAAACATTGGGGGGTGGGGTGGGGGTGAAGTGTATACATCTTCCAAAAAGGCAACTAGGCATGGTTTTTCAACTGGCCTTTGGGAATTAATCTTTTAGTCTATTCAGCTAGGGCTTCTGCGAGGTACTACGTCGGTTAGGCGTCCCTGCCCGATGAGCGCATGAACATAAAGCAGCAGTCCCAAGAGAATGACTTCTCTGCAATCTGCCCTTGGGCGGTGTTGCAGACGGGCAATCGGCCTTCTCCAGGCCGCCTCCTCGTTTCCCAGAGGGGCTGTCGTGCGGAGGCAAGAAGTGGAGGCCCGCCGGCAGGCAGGCAGGCAGGCA